CACTCGGGGGCAGTGCGCACACAGCCGCGGGAGGCTGCGGGGCGTCGAGGCTGGCGAGGTCCCCGCCCAGGCTGCAGACGCCCCAAGCGCCACAGCTCTGCCGGCTGCACACTGGGGGTTCCAGGGGACCCTTCCCCGGGGAGCACCCCGTCTCCCGAGTTCTGATCACTGCCAGCCGGACTCGCCTCCCGCGCAGGGCGTTCCCGCGAGCCCGCCCCGCGCGGTGACCTTCTGGGATCATCCTACCCATCGCTCCCAGGCACCCGAGCAGCTGGGTCTATTTTTATCCTCACTGTGCAGGAAGTAGAAGCTTGTGGGGGGTAAGGTCACGGCGGGGCCATGCTGTGGGGCGCTGAACCCCATGTTCAGAGCCTCTGGGTGTCTCTTCTGCGCCCTCTGCTGCCGGCAGGCGGGACTGCCACTGCGCCTGCACCCAGCTGAGACATCCGCAGGTCGGTTTGGAGCGGTTCCCCAACATTCCTGGGGGGTCGCTAGCCACCCCATGCAGCCCAGGACCCCACATCAGTCGCCCTCGGGATGTGGCCTTCAGCCAATCTGGCCTGACTTGGACCTTGCTGCTTTTCCCACAGTCAGTTTCTGCCTGGCCCCTTGCGTCTAGGTCTGCAGAACGGCGTTCCGTCCAGCCTGGCCAAAGGTCCTGCCCACCCTGTCGCCCTCACCCCTCTCCTCCTCCCTCCGCCCTGCACCTCAGTAGGCAGAGACCTGCTCCTGCCAGTACTGCCTCGGCAGCCCAGGGCAGGCCAGGTAGTGAGCTCCCGGTCACCAGGGAGGTTCAGAGCCTGCATGTTGGAATGTGGTTAAGCAGCCATTCTCACTAACTTTGAGAGCTAACAGGAGCTGAACTGTTAAGAACGGCAGGCCTGGGGCACTGCAGCGTGGGCTGACACGCTCAGGACAGTCTTTCAGCCCTTTTGGGGTTCTCCTCAGACCTGCCCTGTTCACACAGGCAGGGGAACGGGCTGTGTTACCCAGCGAACTGCGTCCCCTTGAAAAGATGGGGTCAAAGGCCCGGTGTGGTGGTCTAGACCTATAACCTCAGCACTCAGAAGGCTGAGGCAGGAGGATCACTCTGAGGGTGAGGCCAGGACCACATGGTGAGACCCCAACTTGAAAAAAAAAGAAAAAAGGACAGGAGTGGTCCAAATCCCCAAGGCCTCAGAATGAGCCCTGACTTGACCTTCCCAGGGTTCTCGTTAAGATGACGGTGTCAGGGTGGACACGATGGGTGTCCTTACAAACAGAAAAATGTGTACAGGGACAGACACAGAGAGGGTGGTCCTGTGGGTGAAGTGGGGGGCAAGGGTGCCCAGGAGCCAGGGTAGGGCCATATCCCCATTTTGCAAAGGATGAAACTGAGGCTCAAGAGCCAATGGCAAGGTGGAGACTGGAGCTTGCTACCCTCCTGCCTCAGCCTCCCCAGGAGCTGGGAGCTCTGCTGGGATCTTAAAGCCAGACTGTAGCTGAGCACCAAGCTGTCCCAGGGCTCCTTTCCCTCACCCCCTGCGAGCTGTGCTCTCTGGGTGGCGGGCCCGCCTCCCCCTCCCTTGGCCCAGCCCTCCAGAGCCCGCCCATCCCCCTCCTCACCTTCCCTGTGGCACCATGAGACACATACTGGGCTCCCTCCCGCTTGGCAATCTCAACTTGCTTGCGGGCGATGCAGGGCCTGGCAAGGGAGGTGCCCAGGAGGTAGCGGTCCTCGTACAGTGCACTGGACTGGATGGCAGGCCAGATGAACTCCTCCACAAACTCCCTGCTCACATCCTCGATGAACACCTGGGAGACAGGTGTTCCACAGGGGTGAGGTGATTGGAGTGGAGAGCTGTGGAAGTTTCACCTCCACTTATTCTGCAGCTGTAGCAGACATCACTAACTGATTCCTGCAAAGCATATCTTTACTCTCCTTGCCACACTCATGACAGACATTGCTAATCAATCCCACACTATCAACCCACAGAACCAGGCAGCTCAGAAATCCTTCCCAACAAAACCAAACTCAGTCCCCACCCAGACTTGGAGCCCTCGTTCTTAACCAGGGGTGGTGCCAAGTCCCCAGGGGCACTTGGCAATATCTGGGCAGGATTTTGTCACAGTTGCCAAGTATGGGGAAGACAGAGGGCTTGTGATACCGGGTAGATAAAGGCCAGCTGCAGGTAAACAGTGCCAAGGTTGAGACCACATGGTCATGAGGAGCTGCACTTAGCGGAGGTGAGTGGATGGACAGATTGATGGATGATGGATGGATGAGAGGAGACAGAAAGACAGGGTGCCTGGGGGATGGATGAACGGCCAGGAGCAGATGGACAGGAAGTGGGTGAGTGGAGAAGAGTGGCCGGGGAAGCAGATAGAGTGGGGTTCACACTCCTGACACACTGGCGGGATGCGGGGGAGCAGTGCTCGGGGCCGGAGCTTCCACGGCTCCAGGAGTGTCCCCAGCAGTCAGCTCCACCGCCAGCCCAGCCCAGCTCTGCCCCGTACCTTCTTGGCCCCAAGCTTCAGCGCCTTCTTCCTGGCTTCCTCAAAGTCTTCCTTCTGGCCGATGTTGGCCTGGGGAGCAAAGGTGGAGAGGCCCAGTGAGCCCAGGGACAAGAAAGAGGGTGGGAGGGACCAGCAGCCCAGCCCTTCACAGCCATGATCATGGCAGGAAGGAGAGGGCATGGACCAGGTGGGGCGCTGTGGGTAGCACAGGAACTGTGTGGAGCAGGACGCCATGGGCTGGCACCCAGGCCACTGGGCCCAGCTCTCTGCTGTTGGCTTCCTGGCCTCATCTAGGGCCCAGCATGCCCAACACGAGCTGGTGCAGAGGCTGCGATGCAGGAAGTGCCTGGCAGGGCGAGTTTCCCAGACAGGAAGTGCCCTGCCTGCCTGCCCATCCGAGCAGGCAGCCCTGTGCCAGCCACTGGGCCTCCACTTCCTGTCACCCCCATTTAGATGCTGTAGGCTCTGGACTGAGCCCTGGGTCCTGCATTTTTTTTCATTTTTATCGGTACCAGGGATTGAACTCACGACTGCCTGCTTTCAAGGCAGGCGCTTATGCCGCTGAGCTAAATCCCCAGCCCCTGGGGTCCTGCATTTTGATCTTGCTGGAGCCAGGCCTGCAGTGGTGGCCTGAGATCAGAGCCTCTCCACCTGTGGGGTCCAAGGGTACACAGGGCCTGGGCTACTCCACAAGGGGATCACCCCGGGGCCCTGGCTTCCATTCAGCACTGTGGCTGCCATCCATCCAGTGACTGCAGACAAAGCATTTCTCCCTGTGCCTCGGTTTCCCCCACCTGGACTACAAGGGGACGGCACAGAGCACGCCAGGGCTACAGCTGATACCTATCTGTCCAGAGTACCATCGTCTCCTCCCCTGGAAACAGAAGCTGTCCTAGGAGGGTCCCTTCTTCAGGGACACAGGAAAGAGGCCAGTGACCCAAGACTGACCCCCACGCAAAGGCACCCTTAGGCTGGGGAGAACTCAGCTGTGAGGGTAGCCGTGGGCAGCCCGTATGTGCCCTGAGGCGGCATGAAGGAAGCTGAGTAAGGCTAGAGACAGCTGGGTGAGCATCAGGGTGGAGCCTTGCCTGAACCCTCCTACTGCCAGGCGTCTCGGCTCAGAGAGGCAACTGGTGTGTGTGTGGGGGTGGGGGTGCCCACAGCTGGTGCTGAGTTTTTCTCCCTACATGGTTTCAGTTCAATTTCTAGACTGAACACAAAGCCAGGTGGAGAAGGCTTTGATGAGGGTCGACTGCTGGGTGCTCAGGCAAGGCAGGGGGACACTGCACACGACCTTTTACCATGCCCAGGGCACTCAGGTCTCTTCCCCTCCCAGCTGCCGTCTTTACTGAGTTGCTGGAGCTGACCAGGACCGGGAGGGAGCACTGGGTCTCTTGTCTGAGGCCAGGGCCCTCTCCATGCGCGCTGGATGGCAGCAATGCCCAGGCAGCCTCTGTGCCCCTCCCAACCTGGGACTATCTTCAGAGAGCCGCGAGGGACGGGCATCAAGGATGTGTGTGGCAGAGCCCAGCGGGCAGGTGGTGGGACACACAGACAGGGAGCAGGACACACGGACAGGGAGCCGAGGCGGCTCCTCACCAGATAGGCGATGACGTCATATCCCTGCTCCTTCAGCCACACGAGGATGCACGAGGTGTCCAGGCCGCCGCTGTAGGCCAGCACCACGGAGCCCTTGCCGGACATCACGTCTGGAGAGAGCGGAGGGGAAACAGCAGGCTCAGCGTGGCCTGCAGGGGTGACCCAGGTCCAGGCTCCTCACAAAGCAACGCTCGTGGGTCACTCTGAACCCCTTCCGGGGCCCCACATCCCAGGCACAGTCACCTCCACTGGGGAGAGCAGACACAGTGCTCAGAGAGGCTCCTGGTCAAGGTCATGGAACTAACAGCTCAAGGTCACAGAGCCAATGTCTGGGAGCCCGGGCTGCTGCCCAGCAGGCAGCACTGCCCGGAACCTGCAGGAAGCGGGCAGGGACAGGTGGCGGAGGGGTGCACCTGGCCTGGGTAGCTCCCCACACCCAAGTGCACCGCAACTTCTCCAGATCCTAGGCCTGGGGTGCGGGACGTGAGTTCAAACTCACCACTGCCAAGTGGATTTTTCCCAGAAGAAATAATGGAACTAAAAATCATTGTCCAGAGTCCCCAGAACTGTACCACTTCTCGGGGCTGACTGGAGCCTTTTGGGCTTAGTGTTATCAAAACTTGGAGCCAGGAGCGGGCGGGGCCTCCGAACTTGGCCCACGGCCCCGGCAGCCCTGAGAGACTCTGCAGGACTCCGGGGCTGAACTTGAAAGTGTGGAATATGATCCCAGCACCATCCTGGGCCAGGCCGCGGGCCACCCTCCCTCCAGTCTCACAGCGCCTGCTGCCACTTGGAACTCTCGGGACAGTGGGCCTGGCTCCTCCCCTCCACTGGGCCTGCGACCACTGTCAGCTGAGTCCCTGGTCAGCTGCAGGCCCTGACCCTGCAGCCAGCAGACGGTGCCCATGGCAACGGCAGCCAGACAACCGGCTGGGAAGCTGCAGGAAGGTGGCAGGGGGCAGGTGGGCAGTACCTGGGATCGGGGTGCGGCTTCCGCTTGTCACAGTCTGTCTTCCCAGTGCAGGGGAGCACTCTGTAAAAGAACAGTGGCTCAGCTGCTTGGCCCGGCAGCCCGGGGGCCCCAGAGGCCCTGCCCTGCCTTAGTGAGGGACTGGCAGGGTCCGGTGAACAGCCAATCCCATTGCGTTTGTTGAGATAGCACGATTGGGGATAACATAAAATACACGGGAGGCCCGAGTGTGGGGACACAACCCTGAAACTCTCACCACATCCTGATGATAAACACAGCCACAAGACCCAAGCTCAGCCCTCTCCCCTGAGCTCTCCCAGCAGAGGTGGCTCCAGAAGCCCCCGCCCCTCACCAATGCATGTGGGGCCGAGAAGGGGCATCCGAGTAGGGGGGGACACTCAGCAGGAACAGACCGGTCACTGCCCCTGCCCTCGTGGGTGTGTACGTTTCTCTGCATGTTCATGCGTGTGTCCTGTTGGGGCCCGTATGTGCACGTGGAGATCAGGGGCCAGCTGGGCTGGGTAAATGGTGCAGTGGGACAGTAACCTGAAGTCACCTCTGCCCTGTCTCCTCTGCTCCCAGACCATGGTGAAGCGCCCTTCTCCCTCAGCCACAGAGCCAGGGCTGTGTAACCCAGCTGGGGCCAGGGGCAAAATCTGAAAGGAGCGGAGGCCTTGACTGAGGAGGGAGAGAGAGCATTCTCTCTGTAGGCAGAGACCGTGGCCACGTCCTCCGGATCTGAGTTCGAGTCTCTGCAGCTCTCCAAGCAAGGCTGCCCATCTGCAAATCAAGCTCGAGGAAGATCCAACCACCGCAGGCGATGGCCAGGGCTTGGGGAGGCGCTGGGCGGGAGCTGAGGGCTGGGCAAGGCTGCTCACGACCTCACTCTCCTGGCCAGGCTTTCCCCAGATGCTCGACTTCAAAGCCATCTGGATGCCCCAGGACGGGGGCTTCCTCCCTCAGACCCCTTGCGCTCCCAGGAGGGCCCAGGGCAGGTTTTCCCTGTTCCCAAGCAGGCAGGGCAGCCTCTGCCAGGAGAGCCGTTTGCCTGGGAAGAGTGGGAAAGTGACCTCGTGTCACGCCGCCGGGCACACTGGCCTCAGCTGGCAAGGTGGGGGGTGATTCTCTGCAGCCTCAGTCATCTGGCCAGCGCCCAGGGGACCTGCGCCAGGCCAGCCTGCGTGCCCGCTCTGCCCCGGGAAACTCCCACGGCTCCAAGATGCCAGGGCTGGAGGCACAGCACAAGTGAGGCCGCAGTCAGAGCCACTCGGAGGTCGTTTCCAGGGCAGACAGCCACTCTCTGTCAAAGACAGACACAATGGCTTCAAGCCCTGTGGGAGGCTTTGCACTCTGCCATGGCCCCTGTGAATCCCCGGTCCTTGCTCCTCCCAGGTCCTCCCTGGCAGTCGAGCTCAGCTGAGCTCCATTTGTCATCCCCCCCCCCCCCCCCCCGCTAAGTCGTGACTCTGCCTGAGCAGGAAAATTCTCTCCCACCCTGACGCTCCTCATGCTAGGATTTCAGCTCCCAACCAGTCTCGCAGGTTTTGTGTATGGTAAAGCTAGGCTGCAATTCCGTTATCGACCAGAAGGCGGCGCATGTTCCCTCTACAAGGCCGGGTCTGAACTCGTGAAAAATCCGAACCATTTCTGGCCAGTTTGGTCTCTAGTTCCCACGAAAATGCTCCCCAGGTACAGGACGGGGAGGAGATGAAGGTCTCCGGGGATCCTGGACAGAGACGCTTAAATGTTCTCCTAGGAACATTTGGTCATAGGAAGCGAGAGCATGCTTGGCTGTTTATTCTGCTAATGTCACAGTGTGTCTCCTCCCTGGCCCTTCCCCGTCCGGGGTGGGACCTGCCCTGCACCAGGAAAGCAGCCAGGGCTGGAAGCTCCACTGTGCTCGGAATCGCCGCAGAACTCAGAGCTCCAGCCCCTGAGTTCCAGCCTGGTACCTCTTTCCGTGTGGGTGCCCAGAGCCCACTTCAGGGGCCCCCAGCTGCCTGCCTTCCAACCTGCTGGCGCAGCAGCTGGGCAGGACATGGCTCCACCCCTGTGGAGCTCCACAAGCTCAGGGCAAGAGGCAAATGTGGAGGCCCTGCCAGCACTCAGGGGACAGAGGCTGTCCAGAGAGTGGGGGTCCCCCTGTCTCCCAACTCAAGCTTGGCCCCGAATAGGTGCTCGGGAGAGTGAGGATTGGGCTCAGAGTTTCTGCTGCCCCAGGACCAGGCCTATCTTGAATGTCCAAGGAGACCAGGAGAAGGTGACGGGGTGGGGGGTGCTGGGACAGACTCCACCAGGCTCCACACGGTGCCAAGGCCCCGTCTCCTTCCTGGCTGCTTTTGCCTTGACTGTCTCCGTGGATGGCCTTAGCCCTGGGGCCTGGCTGAGCCCGATCCGGCAGAAAGGGAACCGAGACTGGGACAGGGCGGCTGACCCAAGGCTCCCCGGCCCTCAGGTCTGGGCCTGGCCTGGAGCTGGGAGGGGAGGGATTAAAGCTGTGTGGAGCCCTGGGGAAGGTCAGGTCTGTTCCCGCCCAGACACCTGCTCCCAGAAGGGCCCTACAGAACGGGAGAGGCCTTTTCTCCATGCCTCAAAGACCCTGCATCCTGCAGGGGGCCAAAGGCAATAAAACCCAGAGGCCCACGTTTCCTGGAGAGCTCCTCCCCCTGGCCCAGCCTAGGACACAAGAAGCAGAGTGGCAGCCGCCTTGCCCAGACAGAGGCAGGACGGCCTCCGCCGTCCCGCATGGATGGGGAATTCCCACCCAAGGCCCCAGGACGGTCGCCAGAGTCTCCGCTCAGGGTAAGCTGAGGTTCGAGAAAAGCTACGCCCGCAGGTCTGGAGGGCCAGAGGTGGCGCTGGGGCTGGACCCCCCCACACTACCTCTAGCACGGGGTGGCGCAGATGGCGAGGCGCGCGGGGGAGAGGGGATGCGGGCCCCTGCTCACGTCGGGCTCCCAGGTCTCCACCCACGAGCTCCACGACTCAGAGGAAGCCGAACCTGAGAATTCTGGGAAGGACCAGGTCCGCACGGGGACACCGGGCCTGCCCCCCACCCCACTGCCGGACTCGTCCGGTCTCCACGCGTGTGCGCAACAGAGGCCCCGCGCCCGCCGCCTCCCCTCCGGCTCGGCCCAGGCCAGGGCGCGCAGGTCCCCTCGGCCTGCGCTGCCCGCTCGGGCTGGGACCTGGGGAGCGCGAGGCGAGCCGAGGCTCCTTACCCGGGTGGCAGGCGGCGGAGCAGGGCCGGGAGCGGCGCGCGCCCCGGGTTATAAACACAGGCCCGGGGGCAGGGCCGGGACCCGGGCACGTGGGGGCGCGCGGCGACAGACCCCGCCCCGGGCCAGGCCCCCGCCGCCAGCCTCTCGGAGCCCCGGCACCTGCGGTGGGCGGAGCCGGCCCCTCCCCCCGTCTCCGCCCCGCGCCCCGGGCGCCCGGGGTCTGCGCCAGCGCAGCCGGGGGCAGGAGGGGGGCCGGCTCCGGCCCAGGCCGGCGACTGCAGGCGCCTCGCGGCGCGAACCTGCGCCCCTGGCCGGACGAGCACGGCGGTCTTGCGAGAGCGCCTGGCGGAGGCGCTGGTGGGGATGAAAGCGACTTTGCTGGGAGAGCCAGGTGCCCGCTTTGATCCGGTGCCCGCGTCCCACGCCCTTCCGCAGCCCGCAGAGCCCCCCCTCCCTCACCCCACCCCCACACTCACCCCTCGGCGGCCTCTGCCTCTCTGGAAGGCCGAGGGTGCTTCCCTGGCTGCGGACGGCAGTGCTTGGCTGCCTCCCCAAAGCCTGGCCCGTGACCAAATTCCCTGGGGCACCCAGTAAATGGTGCGTGAGAGACTTGCCTGGTGCGAACCCCGCGGACTCAGGAGGCTGAGGTTGGCAGTGACGCCTCTCCCTTGTGAAATGAAATTGGAAGTCCTGACCACTGTCTAGCCTTCAGCAGAGGGCTGCTACGTCCGACGGCTCCCAGCGTGGTCACAGGCCCCGTGACACCCAGCCTGGCAACCCAGGGCCCCAGCAGGACCCAGATGACCCCCAAGGCCATGGCTCCCATCAGGACTGGCATCAAGGAAGGATGGGTCCCAGGACTCGGCTGGCTCCGTTCCCTCCCTGGTGGCACCCTGAGTCACCAGTTGGGCTCTGGCTGTGCTTCCTGCTGGTGTCTGTGCCACCAACACGGAGTAAATGAAGCCTCCACCTGGAACTAAAGGCAGCTGAGTCCTTCCGGGAGGGACGGGCACCTCTGCTTTCCATGTGAAGCCACAGCTTGGAGACCCTAGTGACCCCCCTCACCTCTCACACCCAAGCCCAGGTGTGACCCTGAATTCCGGGGACCAGATGAGCCACGTGGGTTTGGATGCCCAGGGGTGACGGGGGTGGGGACTCAGAGCTGGTCCTTCCACAGGACCATGAATAAGTAGGGAGCAGGAGAGAAGTGTGGGAACCCAAGGCTTTGGGTGCAACCTTCCAGGGTCACACAGGGTCACATCAGCTCCACGGAACCAGAGGCTAGTGCCCAGCACTCTGACCCAAACCCCAGGGCTGCAAGCATCAGAAACCTTCAGTTCTTGCTGCAGAAATAGCCCTGGGCCAGGGGACTGGGGCTTCCTGATGCCCGGGCACTGGTGACGTGAGGGGCAGTGAGGTCACCCACTCCAGGGAGGGAACAAGGGCCCGCAAGGCCAGCAGTGGCCCTGCACACAGAGTAGCAGACAGGACACTGGGGTGGGGACAGAGATCAGGTGTGGGGGACCAGTCTGCTTCCGGCTCAGCTGTGCTCCACTGGCTGCTGCAACCCATCAACACCCCGGCCCTCACCCTGCAGACTGGCTTTCGGGTCTGGGGTGGTGCATGGCCCTCAGATGACCTTTCCTTCTCCTGCCCTCTTCTAGGCCCAGGTCAGGGCTCCTCAGGGACCCTGCGTCCCTGTGAGGTAAGCGATCTGGGAGGTGTCGCTAGCAGCACTTTGGAACTTGGGCCCAGCCAGGTGGAGAAACTGAGGCAGGCAGCTCCTTATTCACAGGCATTTGTGTCTTCTGAATATGTCCACGCTGCCCCTCCTCGACACCCCATCTCCCACACTGGTCCTCCCACCTTCTCTTAGACCGTGATCATGTCCCCTGCTTACCCTGGGTACCCCTCCAATAGCCAGAGGTGGCTTTTGTTGTTTTGCTGGTAGTTGGGGTTGAACCCAGGGCCTCATGCAAGCCAGGCCACAGAGTTCTTTAAAAACATAAATCATAGCCAGGCATGGTGGTGCATGCCTGTAATCACAGCACTTGGGAGGCTGAGGCAGGAGGATCACCAGACTACATACTGAGTTCAAGGTCAGCCTGAACTACATATAAGACCCTGTCTCAAACCAAACCACACCAAAAGCCGTGAGTTCAAATAGATGGGACCTACCCTTTTTTGATAGTCCTTTTTTTCCCCCCAATATCAATATCTGGTTGACTTTTCCCCGCTTACTGTGGTGGACAGTTTACTTGCAAACTAATTGCCCCAACCAATGCGGGTCTGACTATTCCGTTCTGTTCATTGTTTATCTGTCCTTGTGCCTGTGCCATTGGCTGCCGAGCAAACCTCCCAGGCTGCGATTCTGTGCTACTGAGTCTGTTCCTGCCCATATGAGTAGGGAAAGTGGCATAGTTTATGTTAAAAGCCTCCTGGAATTTTGACTGGTGGCTGAAATAAATCCGTGTATCAGCTTGTGAGAAGCGGGCATATTAACACCACTGAGGTGTTCAGCCTATTAACATGGTCTGTCTCTTTATTTACAGCTTCCTAAATTTTCCCAGTGTTAAAAATAATCCTGTAATTATTTATTCAAAAACGTGCAATTGTCCAGCTCATGGTGGGACACTTTGTAGGCAGTGACCTCTCAAGATAATCTTCATTGATGGTGAATTTAGATTTTAATTTAAACCATCAGCATGTGTCTGAGATAGTGGGACCTATATACACCCATGCGTGCCCCGTGAGCTCAAGGCCAGCCTGAACTGCACAGTGAGAGCCTGTCACAAAAAAACAAGAAACAAAGCAAACAGTGTGGGCTCTGACCTCTCTGCTCTGACGCCTTTCCTGGCCTGACCACTGACCCAGCAAGTCTCCTCCTGTCCCCTGACACCCAAGGGCCCTGCCCCACCTAGTCCTGCAGGGGCCTGAGTGCACAGAGACTCCAAGGACCCCGCCCTGCAGCCACCTCATGCCTGGCACCCGAAGCCCCTTTGAAACAGCCCAGGCCTGGGTGACGGTCCCTGGAGTGGACAGTGACCTCCCGCTGGGCCCCAGGTTCCAGTCCCCAGCCAGAGGGACACGGAGTCCTGTTGCCAGATTCCTGGAAAAGCTACATCAGGGAGATTAATGAGTGACCTGTGGGGCTGTCCTCCACCCCCTCATGAGAGAGCTGGTGACATCAGTGGGTGGTGGCCGGGCAGCCCTTAGCCTATGACAGCTGGCGGCTGGCAAGGCGGGCACAGGAAACACCCCTCTCAGCGTTGGCTCTAGCTGCAGCACGTGTGGGAGCCTTCACACTTAGCTGGGTCCCAGCTTGTTCCTTTCAGACAAGGTCTGGCTAACGGGCTCAATTGCTGGGACCAGGCTCAAACTCGCAATCTTCCTGCCTCAGCCTCCCGTGCACCACCGCAGCCCACAACACTGTGAACTCCTGAGGTCCCTCCTCCTCATCCTGCCCCTGGCATGTGTCCCCCTCTTCCACGGGCGGTGACAGCCTCTGGCTGTGGAATGAGGCCTCCTGGCCCTCCCAGCCCTGTGAGCTAAGGCAAGGAAGGCAGCGGCCCAGAACGAAGGCTTTGCAGGCAGGCGCAGCAGCGGACCGGGTGCGGGACCGGGTGCGGGATCCTCTCCGCTTGTGCGGTTTCTATGTGCGCTACGCTGCTCAGGCTCAGGGGACCCTGTCTGCTGCTTACAAACAGCGGGCGGCCCAGGTACCTCTGGGGAGACCCCCGTCCCCCCCCCCCCAGCCACTTTGGAGCCTCGTTTCCATCCACTCAGCCTTCCACGAGGCCTGGTCCACCCCATCTGGACTCTGGCTCTACCTTAGGCCTGGGCCCTGTCCAGCTGCCTGTCCTTTGCAAGATTAAGAGGTGAAATAACTTGGGAGACACTGGGAAGACTGAAGACAGGTTTTACAAACCCAAGGGGCTGGGGCACACAGGTGCAGGGGTGAGAGGGGAGCAGGCACCTCCCTTTCAGGTCCTCAGACTCTGCGAGCATCTCTCTCCGTGGGCTACAAAGTCCCCATTCCCATAAAAAATTAACAGCCCAACAGACGGCAGGGCTTGAGATCTGACCCTGACCCCAGGAGGACGGCCCTGGACCATGGGCTCCCCCTCCTCCCCAACCCCTCCTCCAGCCCAGAGCTTAAGCAGCAGGGCCCACCGATCATGCCTGTTTTTGGAAAAGGCTGTGCCCGAACTAAGAATGGCTTTTCCATTCTAAGTGGTTGAAAATAGCAAAAGAAAAAAGCCAGGCTGGTGTCACACACTTGTGACCCCAGCACTCAGGAGGCTGAGGCAGGAGGATCATCAGGAGTTTGGGGCCAGTCTGGGCCCATGGTGAGTTCAAGGCCAGCCTAGACTACATAGCAAGACCCTGTCCCAAAAGTAAATACGTAAGTAAAATAAAGTAAAATAAAACCCCACAGCATGCGAAGATGCTACTAATCTTGACATGTAAAGTGTCCACAAATAAAAGTTTTATGGGAACACAGCACGCCTGTCTGTCTGTATGATGTCTGAGCCTCCCTTTGCTCCTCGGAGGCAGAGGTCAGAAGTGACAGAGACTGGATGTCCCCAAAGCTGAAAATATTTTCTGTTTTTGTTTTGTTTTGTTTTTGGCACCAAGACTTGAACTCAGGACCTTCGCTTGCTGGGCAGGCACTGTGCTGCTGAGCTGCATCCCTGGCCCCCTTCCAGCCCCTAGAGAAAAAGGCTGAAGGGAATCAGGGGGCAGAAGTGCCTCCGGTCGCTGCCCAGCCAGACCCCCAGCTTCATCAATGGCAGGGTCTCGCCTCCTTCCGGAAGCTTCCTCTGAATGTCAAGGAGGAGGAGAGGGAAATAACTCAGAAGCTTTCCCGGTGGCCCAGGTGATAAAAACGGGTCACTACAGGAGAGGAGCAGGGACAGAGACGCCCTCTGCCCCAGAACCATGTGCAAAACACACCCCACAGGCTGCATCTGGGGGCTGGTGGCAATGGGGAGGTCACCAAGGCAGGACTGTCACCAGTCCAGGACAGGGAGCAAGGCCAGAGGAGTGGGTGGACAAAGAGGCTCTGGGCTCCTGCTGGGCTCCACCTGAGGTCAGACCACGCCTGCACACGGGGACCCAGTGCTGTCAAAATACAGGGTGGCGCTGTAGAATTTATTACAGACACACTGCCGTTAACCCCGCTCGAAACCTTTCTACCCGCTTTGAGCCCACTTGTCCCGTCCTTCCCGCCAAGTTCTGCAGCCGTTCCGCTGTCCTCTTCCCTGAGGGTCTTTGGGAGGTGTGATCAGAAATATGGTGAACGCTGCTGCTGACGGCCACCTAGTGGAAAGGCAGGCTCCCAGCACTCGGGAGGCTGAGACAGGAGGATTGCTGCAAGTTCAAGGCCAGCCTCTGACACCTCGCAACTTCTGGCTCTTCCCAAAGTTATAATGACCAGAAGGCAGAAGTTTCTGAAGGACACCGAGGTGGCCAGGACTGCACAGCTAAAGGCCCTCAGGAAAGAGGACTCCCAGGCAGCCAGAAGCTTACACAGTAACCAATGTGTGTACTGGGATCAGCATTGCTGTGTCTGATCCCAGTTCAAACACTGTTCAAGCACTGACGGTTTCCCTGCTGTTACTTCCTGAACAGCGGTCTAATGATTATCTACCCAGGCTTATCATGCACCGAGTATCTTAAGTTTCCAAAGATGATTTAAACACATAGGAGGCTAAGGGCTGGGGATTTAGCTCAGCGGCATAAGCTCCTGCCTTGCAAGCAGGCAGTCGTGAGTTCAATCCCTGGTACTGATAAAAAAAGGAAAAAGACAAAAAAAAAATTTTCCAACACATAGGAGGCTGTGCCTAAGTCTTGGTTGGTGAGACAAGGTTTTGCAATGCAGTTGAGGCTGGTCTTGAACTCACTATGCAGCCTAGGCTGGCCTGGCTGCCTCGACCTTCTGAGTGCTGGGATGAGAGGCGGGTGCCATGCACAGTATTCTTATTTCATAGCTGCAGAGGAAGCTTATCCGCTGGACTCTGACTCTGGGCTACTGATTAGCAGGGGTGGGGTGGGGGACCCCTCGCAACAGAGGAAAATGAATGCATAGAGACCACGCGGGTTAGGAAACATCGTTTTATGTCGTAACACGCACTGGGTTCAGGAGGGCCGTGCCAGGGTGACGGTGACGGCTGTTGTGTCCTCACAGCTGCTCCTCCCTGGGTCAGGTGTCCCGCGTTTCTGGCCAGCTCCTAGCCTGGGAAGCCTCTGGGGCCGGTGACACCCAGCGCTGTCCGCGGGCTGTGCGCCCAGGCGCCGCGTCAAGGCCGCTGTTTACGGAGGCTCCGCTGCCGCCCGCCCCGCCCGGCTCAGGCTCGGGCTCAGTACGGGTACGGGGACACGGCGATGAGCAGCACGTAGACGCTCTGGTGGCGCGGCGCGGCAGCGCGCACGGTGAGGCGGTAGAGGCCGGCGCGGGTGAGCGTGCGGCGGGTGTAGACGGCACCGAGCCCGGCGCGCAGGGGGCGCAGCGCGAAGGGGCTGCGCGGGTCGGGCTGGAGCACGCGGAGCTCGGTCTGGTTGGCGGGGACGCCGGGCTCGGAGAAGGCAGCCAGGCGCGCCACATCGTGGTGGGCGCGCACGCCCAGGGGCAGCGGCAGCAGCCGGTACTGCAGCGTGGCCGGGCCCTCGGCGTCGCAGTCCTGCGAGCAGCGGCGGAAGCAGGTCCTGCGGGCCACACGGACAGACAGACAGACAGACAGACAGACAGAGCCACGCGGTCGCCACCTGGGTCCGCGCGGTGCCGCCGAGCCCCCTCCCCAACCCGGGAGCACCAGGCTGCAGGGAGCCAGCGAGGGGCGTGTCCCCCTCGGCCCAGTCTTCGCCCAGCCCGCGATTAGGCCAGCGCCCGGCCCGCGGTCGCCTGAGTCACAGCTCTGCTTTTGCAGAGCGCGGGGCAGAGGTTCAGACACGTGCTCCGCCCTGCCCCGGACCGGGCGCCCCGTTTCTCCGCCAGCCACAGCGCCTGGCTCCTAAGGTCCGGGAAATTCCCCACCCAGCGACTCCCTGAGTCTCTGTGCCTTTTTAAAAAATATTTCTGTCAGGTCTCTGAACTAAACCCTATCCAACTAGGAGAGAAAGTCTCCCCCACGCAGATCTGTCGTGGGCACTTAGCAGGGCATGGCACTTAGCAGGGAATTGGGCACCCCAACAGCCCACCCTGCAGAGTTGGTTCTGTGCCCGCCAGCGCCCTGCACCCACCCTGAGTATCACCCAGCCTTGGAGCCCCTACTCAGCCATCCCCCTCATCAGCGCCTCCCTCCCTAGCTAAACGCCCGCGCCCCCGGGGCCAGCGGTCTCTTTGCCCTTGGCCCCACCGTGCCCGGTCAGCGATAAAGCCTTCTCACGTTGCTTCAACTCTGCCTGCCTCCGTGGTCTCAGCTGCACCTCGATTTAGCCTAACAATTTTATTTTAGTTTTTGTGGTATTGGGGATCAAACCCAGAGGCACTGTACCGCTGAGCTGCATCTCCAGGCCTGGTTTATGTTTTGACACAAGGTCTTGCTAAATTGCCCTAGCTGGGCTCAGACTTATCAGTCCTCCTGCCTCAGCCTCCCTCAGTTCCAGGATCACAGGCCTGGCCACCACGCCCGGCTCTGTGCCTCTGTGTGAGAATCCGTGAGCCCCTGTGTGAGCTCTGAGGATTGGAGTGCACCTCTGGTTTGTGTCTGGGGCCTGGGGTGCGGGTGTGTCTGGTCTCTCCCTGCCTGTCACCCTGGTAACTGTGCTGGGAATGCAGCAGTAACTCTTGTGGGCACCGTCACTGGGGGCAGAGCGGTGGCCGCCAGGCTTCTGGCAGGAAGAAATGTCCCCACCCCAGCTGTCCTGCCTTACCCGGGGTTGGTGCCCTGCCGGTAGGCCTCAGGGCAGGGCGTGTCCACGCACTGGAAGCCTCCACGGGTGTTGAAGCACATCTGGCCCGGACCACACTCCACAGCATCCTCCTCACACTCATTGATGTCTAGGTGGCAGAGGCGGGAGGAGGTGGGGACCAGAGAAGGCATAGGCGGGGTAAGTGGACCGACCAGGTGGGCAGTGCTCTGTCTGTCTCCTTGTCCTCAGCAGCCCAGCCTTAGGTGGTCCAGCCCAAGGCCCCCAGGACCCCAGGCGCCCCCTGCGCCATCCAGGGGTTGGGACTTGGTGGGGGCACCATAGCGACCCCATGAGGCCATCAGGAACCTGGTGCCCAGCTGGGAGCCTGGGAGGGCATGGGGTGCCCGGGGCTGCACTGGGGACCAAGGTTCTCTCCCACTCAGGTGCCTGCAGTCCATGGAAAGGGTAAGGGGCGGCTCTGTCCCAGTCTGTAGAGCAGGAAGCAGTGGGGAAGGCAAGAGCCAGAGGGCAACGCCACAGCCACCTGCAGAGGTGGTGTCCACTGCCCTGGGTCTCCCACAGCTGTGGGAGGGGTGCTGAGTGTGCCCCCTTCACCAGCAAGGAGGCTGAGCCTCAGAGACACCAGAGTCGTCGGGGACCCACAGCTGCCAACAGCCCTCCTGCCTGGCCAGGGCACCTGGCACGACCCAGAGCCCACCGAGTCTGGGCGCTGCCTGCTCACCCTGGCAGTTCTTCCCACTGGGCAGGAGGCGGTAGCCGGCAGGACAGAGGCAGTGGTAGCTGCCCTCGGTGTTCTGGCAGGCATGCTGGCACAGGCTCCGAACCCGGCACTCATCAAGGTCTGGCAGGGTGTGGGGCGGGGACTGAGTCACACACCCCCGGGGCCTCCTACTGTGCCCACTTGGGGCCCAGCCCTACCCAGCCCTGGCTGCAGGGCTTGGAGTGTCCCTGGGCTTGGCAACAGTGGAGACACCACCCTGCCTCAGCCTCTGGCACCACGAGCGGGAGAGACCACCCTGTGCCAGGCAGGTCCACTTCCCCTTTGTCCTCCTTGACCCCCCCACCACCACCCACCTCCCCATGAGCTCTTGGGGGTGCCCATATCCATCCTGGGGCCCCAGATAACACAGGAGTATATCCCTAAGAGTGACAGGGCCTGGCCTTACCCACGCAGGCACCATTCTGCCAGATGAAGCCAGGCGGGCACCAGGCTCGGCTCACACTGCTCAGGGCTCCAGGGCCAGGCCTCAGGGAGACCCAGGCATGGTAAGAACCACCAGGGATGGGGGCTCGGGGCCGCAGCCAGGGCATCGAGGGTCTCCGGTGGCTGACAGTGGTCACATTCTGTCCCTTCCGCTCAAGTGGGGTACAGGCCTTGCCGTCACGGAGGAGGGTATAGCCCGCTGGGCACAGACAGCGGTAGCTACCCTGGAGGTTGTGGCACTGGTAGCCGCACGGCTCAGGCAGCTGCTGGCACTCGTTGACATCTGCAGAGGGAGGACAGGTGTCACTCAGGGCCGCTCGAGGCTCACAGATGCCTGCATCCTCTGTTACTTAGACCTCCCCGAAACCTTGTGCCTCACATGTTGCACAGGCTGCCACTGCACCAGCCCTCTGTTGTGCCCCTCTTGGCCTCCATGTCTATGTTCAGAGGCCCCTCCCCAGCTCCCAAACACTACTGCCCCCAGTGGTCACTTGGGTCCCTTCTATTCTGTGCCTCTCTAGGGTCCACCCCACTGATGCTGTCATCCTGTCCCTGCTGGCCTCTAGGGAAGGTGGCCTGCAGAATAATGCACAGTTCCAGGGCCTGCTAGGTCTCAGAAGTCACCAGCACCTCAGCCATGGACACCAGTGCCCGAGAACCAGGGGCCATGGCCAGGGCCCATGAGGGCCAGGGTCTGGTACCTAAGCAGGGCAGGCCAGGGCCCTGAGTCCGGTACCCCCGGGGGCAGCTGCAGTGGTGCCCGCCCGCCGTGTTCTCGCAGAGCTGGTTGTAGAGACACTGGTCCCGCTGCTCCAGGCATTCGTCCACATCTGGGGGGTCGGGGTGGGGCTCAGCCAGAGCCTCTCTTGGGGAAACCCCACACCTGGGCTTCAGGTGAGCGCCCACACCCCCACCCCAAGACTCAGGGTTCTAGGGCCACAGGAAGGAAGGAGCTCAAAGGTGGGCCCTGAGGGTCAGCCCCCGGTTCCACCCCGAGGGCCACTCTCTCGGCCTCAGCTTTCCCGTCTGTAAAGAGGGCGAGGCCAGGCTGTCTCGTGAGGTCGTGGAAGACAGAATAGGAGGGTGCATGTGTGAGGCTCAGGGGCTCGGGGTGCAGGAAAGAGTTAAAGAAGGAAGAAAGGAATGGGGTCCATGCAATAGTGGGAAGAAGCACCCTAAAACTTGGCTGAGGCCTGCGGGGGAGGGCCAGCTGCACGCTCTGAGCCCCAGCCTGCTCTGCTGCCCCACACAGCACCTGTCCTTCAGGGGGCACAGAATGGACCCCAAAGGCATCATCTAGGGGTGGCACTCGGGCCGGGTGCCCTGATCCAAGGCGGCTGCCAGGGCAGCTGGGCTGAGAGGGCTTCTGAGGCTGTCACTCGGGCTAGCGCATCCCCTTGTCATAAGCAAGACAAAGGCACTGGAGCCGCAGGACTGGCCGCGATGGTGTGGAGGGCCACCTGGAGGACTCCCTTGGGGAAGAGGCGGTTTCCTGCGCGGTGGCTAAGCCTGGCCCACCTCCACAGACTGGGGGGCACAGCGCTGGTCGGGCCATTTCCTGCTCCTTCAGTGGGCACTAAGCGAGGTGGACAGGGCTGGCTGAGGGCTGGCATGGAATATGTGAAGCCAGTGGCAGCCCATGGTCACCTCACCTGTGTCAAGTGGCCGTGCCCAGCAGGACACAGAGCCGACTCTCCACGACTGTCAGCCTCAGGTAAGAGGCTCCGACTCCCAGGGCACAAACGCTGCCCGTCAGAACCGGAAGCCCCGGGCTCCCACACACTGAACGCTCCGCTCGGCGCTCCCTCGCACTGCCATGCTCTGCACAGGGCAGAGGCGCCCTCAGGCCTCCGCGCCAACCCAGCTCACGGCACTCCCGCACCTCCTGCCATCTCCACAGACCTCAGCCAGCGGGGGTCTCCTGGGCCCCTGTGCTCCTTCCTCCTGCCAAGGGCCCCTTCCGATCTCCCCAGAGCCCAGCATCCAGCCAGCGACCCACACAGCCCGACTGGCTGAGTCGGCAGTCCCCGGCTCTCTGGGGTGTCCTGGCCACTCGCGCCTGTCACCTTCGCAGCTGGCCCCTCCGGCTGCCACTCGGAAGCCAGGCCCACAGTCGGGGAGGCAGCGGTAGGAGCCGAGCAGGTTCACACAGCGCTGTCCCTCTTGGCAGAGATGGGTATCCCACTCACACTCGTCCACGTCTGGGGACAGACACAGCAGGGGCTGCATGAGCACAGGTCCCCGGGCTCCATCCAGGCCCAGGAGCTGCTGCAGGGAGGGCCCCAGCCCACCGGCAGCTCACTGTCCCCATGCCCCGATGACTCACCCCTGCAGGTCCTGTCATCCCAGGTGAGGGTGAAGCCAGCAGGGCAGGAACAGAAGAAGCGGCCGGGCACGTTGTGGCAGGAGTGGGAGCAGGGGCTGGGGCCGTCTGTACATTCGTCCCTGTCTGCAGAGGGACAGAGCTGCAGGCCTGGCTCAGGGACGCTCCTGCCAGCGCATGGTGACAGAGCCGGTGTCCCCACCCCGGGCAGGGGAGCTGCTCACCCACACAAAACTCTCCTCTGGGGTCCGGCTCGAAGCCTTCAGGGCACCCCGCCTCATGCTCCTCTGCAAGGCAAAGGGGCGGGCTCTAAGGACACGGTGGCCCGGATCAGAGCATCCTTTTCTCCTGGCTGTGTGTGTCAGCAGGCTGGGGCAACAGGCTGGGCAGACTCAGGGAAAACCACGGAAGTACAAAGCGGAGGAAACAAGGACCCAATGGGCGCCACAAATGGCGGGCACAGAGGACAGGCACGGGGTCAGCCACAGTGGGGGTGGGTGGCACAGATGAAGGTGGCAGCGGGGACTGTGGCAGGGGACAGAGCTCTGGAGTCCGGAAGGAGATGCCATCACTTCAGTCATGCTGAAAACAGCCACCCAAGTGTGGGGGACAAGGAGCTCAGATGGGGCTTCCGAGGGCACCCAGTGGGGCCCGCCCCACCCATCTGCGGTGCAATGGGAACCCCTAGACTGGGGACCAGGACGCAGCCCTCAAGGTCCCCCAGCTAGGAAGCGATGCGGAGGGATAGGAACAGGGACAAGGAGCAGCCCTTGGAGAGACCGCAGGGCTGTGGGGTGACCAGGGGTTCCAGGAGGTGCCCTAGCCCAAGGTGGGGGGATGCAGTGCGGCTTTGCAGGGCAGCTGGGGCCCCACATGCTGGACCCTGGCAGGCTCTAGGGGGAGCAGCGGGGCCTCACCGGCTTGCAGGGCTGCAGCAAGCTGGAAGCGCAGGGCCTGGGCCTCAGGGTCGAAGGCCGAGCTGACAGCTGAGGCTTGGAGGTGCTGCACCAGCTGGGGCTGGGGGCCCCGCGCTGCCGCGTACTGGATGCTGTGGTTGCAGCGGAGGAGTCCGGGGATGTTGTCGTGGAGGAAGCCCTGCATGGTGCCCACGAAGAGCCGGCCAGGCCCCGTCTGCACGTAACGCTCCTCGAAGTCCTGGACAGGGGAATGGTGGGGGCAGGAGGCCAGAGGTTTCCGCTCCTAAGGCCCCAATCCAAGGGCTGGTGTGCTGGGGGACCTGGACCAGCAGCTCCCCTCTTCCTCCAAGCCCTGGGCAGCCCAGGGAGGGACCAGCAACTGCCCCCAAGTATGGAGTGGGAAGCAGGGCCTGGTGTTTGGGGTCCTCGGGGTGGCACACCCTCCTCTCTCTTACCAGGTCTGCACCCCTACCTGCACTTGGAGGTCCCCGCCCTCCAGGGCCTCAGGGACGGTGCCACTGACCACCACATCCAGGAGCAGGAGCCCGTCGGGGTCCAGGCCCCGTGCCACCTGTGTCATTCTGAGCAGCTCCCCTGCAATCCGGCCCCATCCAGCCGGGGTCACTTCAGGGAGAGGTCCTGGGTCTGGACCTCAGCCCCCTCTTCACCCCCAGGGAAGGTCCTGCTCACCCGTAGCAAATTCCACGTGGGACTCCTGCCGGAAGCTGCCGCCCGTCAGGGAGTAGCCATTCAGTGCCTCTTCACGCTCTCCAGCCAGGGCCCAGTAGATGGGGGCAACGGTGACCACCAGCACCCGCATCAGAGGCCCTGGACAGGGTAGGGTGCAGAGGCCAGGTGAGGCTGGGTGTTTAGGGTGGGCACTCTCCCGCTCAAGAGCCCTCCATGGCTCCCTGCTACCCAGGACAGCTCAGCCCTTCCCCCTGCTCAAGTGCAGGCTCCACACTAGTTATTTACCAGAACAGTAAAGGCAAATCTCTTATGAGGGAATAGTTGAGAAAATGCATAAGTTTGTATGAAGAAATATCTGCGACTTGGAGATACTCAGCTCAGTTCTACAGGCTGAGGCTCACAGAGTTGCCAGGCAGCCTGGCGCTCTGCGGCTGTCATTACGCATTTGCCAGACTGAGTTGAAAATCAGCTGTATTTCCTAGTTTGCAGACGGCCTCCGGAAGAGTCTAGGAGATGAAGGACTGTCACAAAACAGATTTAGAAAACAGAGCCAATGGGCTGCTCGAGACATGTGCTCTGGGCCTTGACCTGGTGCTTGGGCACAGACAGGAAGGGCAGGCCCAGTTGTGAGGGGTCAGGGTGGCGGCGGCTCTGTGATGCTGGCCCGAGGGAGCTGGGCCCCTGGTGAGCCCAGGCGTATCCCTGGGGTCCCTGCAGCTGAAGGAGCAGCCTAGGGCATCTCGGGCCATCTGGCTGAAGTCCCACCCCACTGTGCACACAAGGCGGGGGCAGGAGCAGCTGCAGGGAGCCAGGTCACCCACTGGTCGGGGCCTGCGGGTCTCTGCAGAACCCCGTGAGCTCAGAACACGCTGGTTACGAGTCTGTGCCGGAGTGGACCTTGCTGGGCTCCCTGGGCTGTCCAGCTCATTGGAGTCTTCTGGTTTCTCCTCCATCGCCTGCATCCCGGGCACCATGACTATGCCTGGTGCCCCTCACAGAGCACCCGGTGGCCTCAGACAGCATTTTCCAGATCCCTGCAGCTGCTTCATGCTAATCAGTGTGTGTGTGTGTGTGCACGTGTGTGTGCCGGGGGGGGGGGTGCTGGGAATGCAGGGGCTTGGCCTGCCAGGGTTCACCAAACCACATCTCCAGTTCTTTGTACATTTTTATTAAAGACAGGGTCTCCCTCTGTTATGGTTGATATGTTGTGTCAACTTGAGAAGCTTAGAAGCTTAACAGAGAGACTCAACAGGGGCCAGGATCCTCACTGTGAGAGGCAGGCTCAGTCTCTGAGTTCTGCACCCGCCCTGGAGGCTGGGGGGGGGGGTGGGGGCGCAGCCTCCACACAGTATAAGGGAGGAGGAGAGGCTGTTCCTCCTTTTGCTCTGGCTGCTGCCTTGAAGCACTGCCCCTGTGTCCTGCCACCCTGCCTTGCAGCCAGCTGATTATGGACTGAAACCTCCACAGTGAGCTAAATCTTTCCTTTCTCCAATTTGGGTGTCAGATGTTTTGTCCCAGAAAAGAGAGAAAAGTAATCAAGATACCCTCATTGGTCCAGATTGGCCTTGAACTAGCAATACTCCTGCCTCAGCCTCCCGGGTAGCTGGGAGTCCTTTGGAGGCCTCCAGATCTCCAGAGAGCAGGCCTTGGGCAAGCCTCTGAGGTCCCTGCTGCCTTCCGCTCCGGCACCTGCCGGAGGGGCCCCGGATGAGGTGCCCACTTACCCACTCCTGCCGGAATGGGGCTGACGCTGCTCCGGATGGTGGTGACCCCGGACAGCGCCTCCTGCTGCACACTGGTGTTGAGAGCGGCCATACCAAACTCCTGGCCATTGATCACCCCGACCATGCTGCCCCGGCTCCCCCGGGGTTGCTCTGTGAGGACGCAAAAGGGGCAACAGTAACACTGGCTGGCCACACCCACCTTTAGGAGGAGCAAGAAGGGAACACTGAAGCTCAGAGAGGGGCAGTCACCTCCCCGAGGACACACAGCTAACGTCCCAGACCCAAAGCCGGGGCATCCTGACTCAGAGAGAGAAGGCAGTGTGTGTGGAGGTGCCGCCACGAGTGGGCTGATCTGTGACCACGATGGTGGTGGCCCTGGGACCCGCAGGAGCCCCATGATGGCAGGAGCTGGCACCTGGGGAGCTGGGCACCAGCACCTGAGGTCCCCAGTGCATCAGTAGCCCTGGCCTAGCGCCCCACAGCTGGCCTGGCTGGGGCGTGGTAGCTTCCTGGCAGTGCCTGGAGGGCAGCCAGGGCGGCTCTGTGCTGCGGGTGTGGTTGCTTCCTCTGCCTAAGGGGCAGACACATCCCGCTGGCAGCTGGCATTCCAGAGGGCGAGGGGCAGAAGCCAGCCTGCCCTCCTCTCACCAGCTCTCAGGGGACATTAGCAACAAACTGCCCATGATCTGTCAAAAAATAACAGAAAACAGTCAGCAGCCAGGATCCTAACTGGGTAAATGAGGGGCCTGGCAAGCGCTGATTCTAGGAAACAGAGCTGCTTCCTGCAGCCTGGGTCAGGCTGATGAGATTTCCCCCGGGCTGGCCTGCGGGCCAGGCGGATCTGCTGCTGGAGTTGAGTGAGGGACAGGAGGGAGCCTGGGCCTTCTAATGAGGGGCAGGAAGGAGCTGGAGCCGCAGACCATGAAGCGGGAGCATGACCCATGCCCCGGCAGCTCGGGAAAGGACAGGACTTCAGCGCTCAGGGGAGGGCAGCCACCTCTCATGTCACCGACCCGGGTGTGTCTGCAGCTCCTTGTCCCCCTAGAGTCAGGGCCGGGACCTATGAAGAGGCTGGGGATGGAGCTCAGTGGGAAGCCCTGGGTTCAGTCCCTCCTACCATAAAATGACAAGAAAAAATAAAACACACCTACAAACCAAAACCAAAACTCACTTGACTTAATAACTGGGGAATTTACCCTGTAGACACATTCAGGCCACCACACCAAGGTGGGCGCCACAGTTTGGTCCTAAGAGGAGAAACTAGGAAAGAGAAACCACTGCTTATTTAACAAAGCCAACAGAAATGAGGATGAACCATTCCCGAACATAACAGGAAGCCAGCAGAGAAAGGGGGGAACCTGGCTGGCTCGTGGGGACATCACCCCAGGCAGAGCTGCCCGATCTACAGAAGGCTATGAAGACCAGGCCCTGTTTATAAAAAGGCAGAGAACCTTTCCCTCAGGGAAAAAGTGGGAGACTGTGTCCCTGTATCATGGCCTAAGCTATTTCTGGTAACTGAATTATGGAAGGTAATTGCTTCTTCCTTTTCGGGTTTCTATATTTTCCGGCCTTTCTGCAATCAGCATGTATGAATGAAAAAGAATATTTCCAGTAAAGAATAAGGAGACATCAAGGGCTGCATTGGGCCACGAATTCTGCCCAAATTCCCATGGTAGAGTCCTAACTTCGAACCTCTGACTGAGACCTTCGGGTCTCTGCAGAGGAAACAAAGTGACAATCAGCTCACTAGGCTGGGCCCTAATCCAGTATGCCTGCGCTCTTAGAAAAAGGGGAGGGAAGCGTGGTGGTACATGCCAGGAACCCCAGCACTCAGGAGGCTGAGGCAGGAGGATTGCTATGAGTTCAAGGCCAGCCTGGGCTCTGTAGTGAGACTCAGTGTCTAAAAAGCCAAAGTAATAATAATAACTAAAAATGGGAAATTCCGAGATAGGCATACAGATACAATGACCGTGATAAGGGACAGCGGCCAGCCACCAGGAGCTGGGGGCAGCACCTCACAAACCCCTCGCAGACCTAAAAGGGACCAGCTCTGCCCACACCCTGGCCTTGCCCTTCAAGCTTCCAGTGCCACGAGACGGGCAGTTTGCTGCAGAAGCCTCCGCATGCAGCCCTTTCCTGTCATCCGGCCTGGGGAGCCAACCCGGAGGCCACACGCAGGTCAAAAGGAGTGGGGAGGCCTAGGCCAGAAAACAGGGAGCAGTCCCTGCACGGGAAGCCACTGCCGAGGGCACTGCTGGCTGGGTCCAGGGCTGCATGTAGTAGACAGGGAACCGGGAGCCAGAGAGTGCCCACATTTGGAAGGCAGTGGGTTCCAAGTGATGCCACGGCCAAATCCCAGTTCCAGTTAGCTGAGAGTAGGGTTCCTCGCCCGGGGAACGGCGCTGTGGAGAAAGACTCTGACACTGTGCGTGGTGATTGATTGGCGATGTCTGCCATGGACCGGCTGAGCAGCGTTCTATGGAGAATGAGTCTGACCTTGCGTGTGTCCTAGATTGGTCGTTTTCCAGGGACAACAGAGGGACACAAAGCCGTAACTGTGGACTGTTTGCTACAGGGCACAGCCCACCCGGAAATACTACTCTGAGTTTCCTTTGTGCAGGTCCATATTATTTTCTTGTGGTTTCTCAGGACTGCCTGTTTTTTGTTTTGTTTTTAACTTTAAATTTTCGTCTGGCTCAGGGGAAAGGTGAAGAATCCTGAGCCAGCAGGGACACCTCTGAGCTGTGCCCTACCTGACCGCTCTCACGCACAGCCCATGTGTGAAGCCTGGGCAGGCACTAACCTTTCCCCCAGTAGGCACCACGGGTGCTCCTGTTTTATGCTGACAACTTCACAGGTTGTGAAATATCCAGGGACAGCCAAGGGCCCCTGTCTATTGCGAATGGCAAACAGGCTCCTGAGCCTCAGTTCCCCCAACTGCAAGTGAGCAGGGTAGACCAAGATGACCCACAAGGCACTACCATTGGCTGATTCTGAGTTTCACTGAGCAAGAGTTGGGGAGCCGGCAGCACAGCAGGGTGGGTACCCCCAAAGTGAGGCACAAACCCTCAGGGTACAGGAGCCCCTGTCAGTGTCCACAGAGACCTGGGCAGTGATATCTCATACCTCTCAGGACCAGGAACGCCCGGGCGGTGGCAGAGCCCAGCAGGTTGTGGGCGACGCACTGGTACTCCCCCGCATCCCCCGCCTCCACGCGCTCCAGCTCCAGGCTCCCGTCCGGCAGGGTCCGGAGTCGCCGGCTGGCTCGCAAGGGTTGCCCCGCACGCAGCCACTCAATGGTGGGCGCAGGCTCTCCAGTGGCCCGGCACCGCAGAGCCACATCCTCACCAGGCCTCACTGTGACGTCCTGGGGCTCTACCTGGAACACCGGGGCACCTGTGGGAGATGGGCAGCTTTGAAGGACCCTGAGTTACTGCTGTCTACGCATTCAGACGCATCGGACTGCACAGCAAGGAGGAGAAAGCCCAGGTGACGGTGTCCGCCCTCCTGTGATTTGCTAAGCAAACCCCCATTCTAGGACACGCAGGCTGTTTCCAGGGACCCAGGGCACCCTGCTGCCGCCTCCTGGCTGCGAGTGACTCTCCCAGGGCTCTGGCCCTTTGCTTTCTCCTCTGATAGTGGGGATGGTCCTTCCTGCTGGGGACCCCCGGGGACGCACACAGAAATGCAGGGGGACAAGATCCGCCAGCCTCAGCCACCCTGGGGGCTGCCACGAACCACCAGGCGTGGTAGTCAGTGCCACGGGATGTGAGTCCTCGCAGCTCTCCAATCAGTGTCACTGGGCTGAAGCCTCCGTGCTACTCTGCTCCCTCCAAGGGCTCCGGGAGGCGGGAGAATCCGATCATTCCTTGGCTCCAGGTTGCACACACGAACTCTTCCTCTGCCTGTGCACCCCCAGCCACCACCCCATGTATCTAACTCCTTTTGTGTCTCCTTCTTTTCTTTTAGGTGTTTTGAAACTGGTCCTAGACTTATGTAGTACTGACTAAACTCACAGAGATCCTCCTGCCTCAGCCTCTGAGTGATGGGATGACAAGCATGCACCACCATGTCTGGCTGTCTCTCTTTTCTAAAAATCCCTGGGGTAACCTGGGGCAAGCACCCCATCTCAGGGTCCTCAGACTGACCATCGCCGTACACATTCGTTGCCCAAGTGGGATCCCCAGGTCCTGGGCTTCAGGCGTGGACGCAGCCCTGGGAGCCACGTCCTTGCCCAGGTCAGCTAGTGTTTCTGAGCTGGGCAGGCGCACTGTAGGAACTGGCTGTTCTGCCACGGGGGTGAGGCATCGTAATGACAGAAGCAACATGCAGACCACGAAGACCACGCAGACGTGGCTCAATGAAAGCCTTGTTCCAGTCTGCACACTGGCTCACAGTCGCCCCCGCCTGGCGACCACCTGCGCTAGAATCAGTGACACAAATGACAGCGTCTCTACAGAGGAGAAAACCAGCCAGCAGCAGGCACCAACCAACTGCACAGCCCTCCATCACAGATTCCTCAGTGTCCCATCCCAGACCCATCAGCCTCCTGATACGGATTTGCAGGGGTCCCTGCAGCGAGCTCTAGCCCCTGTCCTGGACCCTTCAGCCTCCAGCGCCCAGACGCCCTCTGCAAGCTTCCTCCTCCGACTCCGTGGCTGACCATCGTAAGCCAGCCGTGTCTCATACATTTGTGTATCTTGCTTTGCATCTGTTTCTCTAGTAAACCATGACTGACACAGAGGGCAAGGCTGTCCTGTCACTCATCAGTGACACCCAGAAAGTTCTTCACATAGAAAGTCCTAATGAGCCCACTGTTATACTAAGATGCTAAAAATTAAAATAATTGATTAAAAGATAATTAACAAAAATAGTTACTTAAAAAGATAGTTACTAGTAATATTGTCATTCTGTACTGAGCTCATTACCCTAGTAACCAAGCACCAACCACATAGTTATAAATTAACTGACCGCATCGTTCTGCTGTTCTGTAATGCGTCATCCCCCCACTTAGTGACCTGTGTGCTATGTCAACTTTTGTTCCCCTTGTAAGAGACAAATGATGCTGTGTCAACCATTGTTCCCTTTATGAGAGACAAATGTTCCTGGAATTGGCAGACCAAGGGCTATGAATTGGCTAACCACCCACTGTGAAATGCCTCTGACCTCAAGCAAAGGGGAACAAAGGCCCACCTTATTTCTGTTTCTCATCACTATGTACTTAATGATCAATGAGCTAATCATAAATGAACTATAAATTCAGTCAAAACTCTAACTCAGTTGCACAGCTTTGCAAATTCCATCTGCACTGTGTTGCTGGGCCAGCTAAAATAAAAGCGCTTCTTTTAAAAAGACATCTTGTGGGGCTGGGGATTTAGCTCAGTGGCATAAGTACCTGCCTTGCAAGCAGGCAGTCGTGAGTTCGATCCCTGGTATCGTCTTGCCCTATTTGTCATCTTGGGGTCTTGCCCTGTTTTTCATCATGGGGCCTTGTTTTTTGAGTGGAGTACAACATTTGGGGACTCTTCGGGATTACATGGGGACTCCTCCCCAAATTTTTTCACCAATCAACCGGCTTGAAACATCTGTAAGTATTTGGATCTTTTGTTCTTTGTAATTTGAGTGCACACCTTTGAAGTCGCAGAGGAGCTTGGCTGGCCCCTTCTGCACCGGAGCGGGACGCCCTCTGGGACAGGGCTTCTAGCCCATTTGGGATTTGGGATTTTTTATCCATTTGGTTTTGTGCTTGGTATATTTTTACGGTGGAGCCATTTGTTCATTTGAATCTGTTACCTCAGTACTAACATTTAGATTTCTTTTTTCTCTTAAACTACTGTTGCAGGTTCCATGCGGCTTATTGGACTTAAGGGTCATAATAAAAATTTATTTCCCTTTAAGTCGCCGAACCATGGACAGAAAATCCTTTGTTTGTGTCTTTAATGTTGATCTTGTCTTTTGTGGCGCCTTGTTTAATGTTTTAGTCCTCAACTGATTATGTACAACCTTGGCATGCCTTTAAAAGTATTTTTCTGGTTAAATGTAAATATATAACAATAAATATATATATGTTTATGGTTTTTAGAATCATATTGGCTTTACCAAATAAAGCCAGGTCATACTGTTATTGAGCCAGTTTAAAAAGTTACAGTCTTTAAAGTGTAACATTTTAAGGTGGTAAAAAGACAAAATGATTTAATATATTTTAGACTACTAAGAAAGTCACTTCAAGGATTTTGTTAAAAGTTTTAATGTTGTCTAAAAAGCTAGAGAAAAGGTAATTGACTGGTAATAAACAGAAACAGAAAAACAGAAAAACAAATGTGTTCAGAATTCGACAGTACTGGGTCAGTAAACATTTACTGCAAAATGTTTCCATTAAAATGAGATTATATTCTAAAAAGGGGAGGACAAACTGGAGCCCTTTGTCATCCCAAGTTTATATAATGGTAAAAAGTCAGTGTTGACCATATATAAAATATATTTACCTATGAAAATAAAAATTAAAAAGGACTGTAATTCTCAGTCCCATCCAGATTAGGAGCCATCAGCTTCAGAATTGCTGGACTCCTCTTCCTCACCCCCCTTTTTCTAAGGACACTCAGGGCCTTATTTCTCTTTTGAAATTTGTCTTCTCCATTCATTACCCCACTTGTGATGACTGCCAGCAGATTTTGCAGGTTTTGTTTACAGTAAAAGAGAAAAAAAAATTCATGTTTCAGGATAAAAAGCAGTGTGCATTCCAAATAAAAGCCTGTCCTCTGATCCCGAATGCCAGAACCGTGTTTTCCCTTTGACCCCGATCGGACAACCAGAGGTAAGAAGGCTCTCGTTCAGTATCGCCAGTTGTTCTCAGAAGCCTTTAAGGGCTGCCAGAAAACCCACCAATTTGTCCAAGGTAGCAGAGGTGAGACAATTGGATGATGAGTCTCCCTCGGGGTTTCTGGAGAGATTGCTAGAGGCCTATTACATTTGCACACCTGTAGATCTGGTAGCACCTAAAAAAGGCAAGGGCCATTAATAATACCTTTGTAACTGTTGGCCCCTGATATTAAGCAAAAATTGCAAAGGCCTGAGAGATTTAAAAAAATGCCCCTCAGTTAGTTATTAGAGTTTGATTAAAACTGACTCTTTCCTCCCAGCTGGTGCAAGCCATTCAACAGATTCCAGTTCCTGTGACTAAAAAGCAAATATAAAAATTTCTAAGAGCCATAGGATATTGCCTGCTTTAGATTACAGACTCATGAGACCAGGCTTTTCAGCAATTAAAATCAGCCTTAACAGAAGCTCCAGTTCTGACTCTGATAAAAAACAAGGGATAGCAAAAGGAGTACTGACCCAGAGTTTAGGACCACGGCAAAGGCCTATTGCCTATCTTTCCAAGAGACTTGATAATGTGGCAGCCCGATGGCTGCCTTGCCTGCAGATGATTGCCTCGGTGGCCCTCCTGGTAAAGATGGCCCAAAAGGCGACATTTGGACAAAAACTTTTAATTATCTCCTCTCATTCACTGGAGACTCTCATCAAGGCTTCACCGGACGGATGGCTGCCTAACTCCCAAGTCATGCACTATCAGGCATTACTTCTGGATCTGACTACCATCAGTTTCAAGGGGACAGTGTCTTTAAACCCAGATACTCAGCTGCCTGATGATGACCTCTCCTTGCCCCTCTGATCATTTCATGGGGCTTCAACCAGACTTGACAGATGAGCCACTGTCTGGAGTTCCATCCTATTTCTCTGATGGAAGCAGTCACATCTATCAAGGTAAGCAGGTCGTGAGAGCCGCTGTCACAGACTCTCAGATTCTATGGGAACAAACCTTGGAGCCAAAAACATCGGCCCAGTGGGCTGAACTCATTGCCCTCACTGAGGCCCTCAAGTTGTCAGACTGATAGCAGATATGCATTTGCTACTGCCCATGTTCATGGGGCCATTTATCAGGAATGAGGTCACTGACTTAAGGGGGCCAAAAGATAAAAATGCTCCCCAAGTTTTGGATTTGTTAGCTGCCATTTGGATGCCAAGGAATATGGCTATTAAATAATCTAACAGACGCAGCTACCCAAAAAGCAGCCACAAAATCAGTGGGGATTGAGACAATCCCGGCATTGCTACTGATTCCACCCACTCTGTCAGAGCCCTTTTACACTCAAGAAGACTTACATTTGGCAGCTCAACTCCAAGCAAAGTCTGATATCCCGGGGGCTGGTACCAACTGCCTGATAATTGAGTCCTCCTCTGTGAGGCCTTGAGATAAAAACTCATCCAACAAGCTCATCAGTCCACTCACGTGGGAGGATCAAATCTCGCTGCTCTTTTTGCGATCATTTCTTTATCCCTCAGTTATTGAAGCTTACTCAGTCTGTGAGCCTTAGAGGCCCTCAGTGCCAGTTGGT